ACACAAGCAAGAGCTTAATATTTCTCTGCTAACAAAATCTAAGGGCCAGTTGCTTTAACTCCAGCAAACACTCAGATCTACAACCTGAATGAAGCAGAGCATTTGCCCATATGATTGTGCCTCATAATTCAAGTAAGTAACTTTAGGAGAAAATGTATGTATTTATATGGGGGGTGTGTGTATTTGTGTGTGTGTGTGAGAGAGAGAGAGGGGGGAAGACATGTATCTTGAGACAGGGTGTAAATGATTATTTAAAAATAGCCTTGAACTTAACTCTATAAATTATACTCTCTCCAAATTCATAATCCTGCTATCTTAGCCTCTTTGGTTCAGATATTACCAATATATTACATTGTCCTGAGCTATCATGCCTATATAGCTTTTAAAAATATTTAAAATAAATTAATCTATTTATTTCCTCTGATGCCACTGTGATTTTGAATAACATAACCATTATTGCTCTTAAATTATATACTAGATATATCTCCTTAATACAATATACTTAAATAAATCTTTCAAAAAGTATCTCAGATTTTGATCAAGCAATTATCTCTAACTAAACATTCAAAACTTTTAGGGACAATAAAATATTTGGTTGGAGTGATCTATACACGTATAGATTCAATTCTAGACCTTCTGAAAATATGTCGTATAAATTAGGCAAATCTCCAACCATTTGAACTTGAATTTTTCATGTTCAAACTGAGGACAATAATAACTCTTCCGTGGTTACTGATGAGATTTGCAGCTGTTGCATAAAACAACACAATCAATAGTGGTTCCTCAATCAAATGCTAGAAAAGTAGTTGAAAGATATTCATAATTTCCAATGATTGAGAAGCAGGACATTTGAGTGAATCATATATTTTGAGTTGTAAAACATTATAACACTAAATTACATACTTCTATGTTTTCAACGAATAAACACAAAATATATTAAATAGTTTATCTTGAAATGACCCCAAGCAAAGATGCGGTGGGTCCAGACAGGTGCCATTGTGAGGAGGGAAGAGGTGATGGAGAGATGGGAGTGACAGGGAGCAGAGCTTTGAGTGCTCTGTGGAGAGAAGCAGAGCTGGCCATGCGGCAGTGGTCACCGGTGTGAGAGAGTGCTGAAGTCGATGGTGGGTCATGTCCTTGACCAGTGTGGTTTCCTGTGTGGTGTGAAGCATCCTGGAGCTTAAACAGATGAAATCTCTGCCCTGAACAAACTTCCCTGCCAAGGGATCTCCCTAGCTCTGGGCAATGATGACAAAAATCAGAACTCCTCGAAGGACCACCGTGCACCATGATGCTGCTAAAGGCCATGAATTCATGGTCTTTGACCACGTCTGTGTTGATATCCATGACCTGTGTTGCCACAAATAGCAAGATGATGTCCGTGATCTCTGCTGCCGCCTGAAACCACGTTGAATTTGGAGATGCAAGCTGCATTAGAGGGCCTTACTTTAGTGCCCGTACTGAAATCTGGAGCCCTGTTCTTCTGTGCTGACGACCGAAGCCATGTGGAAGCCCATGACTCATGCTCCTGTGGACCATATTGAGTAAATAAGCTACTTTAGCAGTGATATTGATGACTGAAGATGTCCAGTTGAGAAAGAGGGACATGGAAGATTTCTGTGACTACCCCTATCCCTGCCCATGCCCCCAAAATAGTAGCAGCGTAAACAGGAAGCCATCAAAGAGAGCTGTAATAGGATGCTGAAGTGGCCCTCTCCACAATAGACAGCATCTAGCAGGGGTGCTAGACGGGAAGGAAATGATTCTATTCAAGGGGCAGGCCGCTGAGAGTTTGACCATGCTCCAGTAAGTATACAAATAACACAAATTGGATTCTTATGGGGGAGTTACAAGAGGGTGGAAAATGAAGGACTCCGCAGATAATATGATAAAAGTATATGATGTGAAATCAATAAAAATATTATGTTGGAATATAAGTAAATAAGTAGCCTTCTGAAATGCCTGTTACCTACTTTAGAAATAATGCATCATATAGGGTGTTGCTCCCAGGCCACACCTACCAGCCTTCACAGAAAAGAAGGTATTCACTAACTTACATTCACAGGTAATGTTAATATGTGTCATTTTCTTTTTTATTTTTTTAAGAAGCTGATAAAACACAATTAACCAGCTTTTACCGTCACTGTAGAAACAGGGACTATAATATCTTCAAATATAAACTTTTAAGTGACTAAGAAATTTGTAAAAGAAAATGATGAACTCAGGAGAGAAATTGGAGAAATTCTGCAAAACTATGCTAATATAGCCACAAGTCCCTCCAGCACCTGGGTTTGCCTCTCTAGTTCCCTGCCTACAATCATAGCGATGCACAGCAGGTGCAGAATAAATATTGATTAAACATGTGACTTACACAAAAGCTATACTAACATATACTTATCATATTGTCATGCCTTGAACACACCTTGTATCAGACTAACCTTTGTTTAAATACACCCTGTCAAATCTGAGCTGGTGGAATGCTTGTCAATGAATTAAGAACACAGCTCATTTTCTAGTATGCTTTGTATTTATGTGTGTTTATATAAGCCACAATCATTATTATCACAAATTAGTTATTGCTTCACAGTATGGAACAATATGAAACGGAAGATGATCTCTTTCACAAACGTCTGGCTGTGTTCCAAGAGAACGCTTAGGAAATTACAGCAGACGGATTCTCAGGCTCATAATAGGAAATGGTGCTGATCATCCCCATCAAGTTCCTCTTTATCACAGCAGAATGAAAATGAAATACATACCATCTTCAGAACAGACAGCCTTGGGAGATTGCCATCTTGAGTTAATTAGCAGATCCCACTTTTTTCAGCATGCCACATTGACAAGCTGCAGGCAGGCCTTGCTTTTCATCCCAGAGATCTAGAAACATTCTGCAGGCACAATACATATGCGGTTAGAAAAGACACTTCACCTTGCAAGGCCTAGATTTGGATTCTGTGCATCCTTAACTCTTTTTATTGTTATTCTAGAGATAAGCAGCAATTCTAACAGAAAGTGACTCTGATCATTCAATCCACTTTCACATATACTAACAGTGCAGAAAAATGAGGATACATTAAAAAAATGTAGCCTGACTGAGGTTAGTATTTTCCTGGGATACTCAGTTTTGCTTCGAAAACTTTCATCCTCTGATTGTCTAACAATTCAGTTAGTAAGCTTATTTAAGTCATTTGGTTGAGAAGCAACAGCAGTAATTCAGTATATAGTTGTGTACCCCTTATGGTGGCTTACAGCTCACTGGAGATGCTTAATACCCAGCCACTTACAGAGATGACTTTATGTTAAACTTTATATAAAAATTACAGAAAACAATTTAAGCCACATTAAATTTAATTTATCACCTAACCCTATGCACTTCAGCTTTCTGTTTCAGAATTGGGTGGATTCTTATTTTGCATTTCCCATTTCAATCGTGCATTACATTTTCTTTGTATTTCCAGGAAAGCAGTGGGAATCCAACCTGCCATGCTTTTTAAGGAAACATCCACTTAACTAATTACTGATCCTCTAAAAAGACACAAAACATACTCAGCCTTCAACTCTCCTTTAAAGCATTCTGTACTCAACATTACTACACTGCTCATCTTCATGGACTAATTGTTGGGGTAGAATCAGTAGTTGAGAAAAAAAGATGTATACTTGTCCATCTTAGCCAGTGATAAGGTAAGTAACATTCAGTTTAGTACACAAACATTTAAAAGCTAGTTTTTATACAAAGATCATTCTAAAATCTACAATTAAATATTTTTGACAGCTAATATTAAAAGCAAGATTATTTTGTAGTGTAGCATCCTGATGAAGAATGCTATTTTAGCTGAGCTCCAGGCATTGCCTTATGTGATCAGTTATGACAAATAACTGCTATCACTTTTTCAATATCATATGCCTTATAAGTGTCAATAGCAATTTAAATATTAGAAAATAAGACATCATTTTAAAGATATGCTTACTAACATTTTGGAAGGAATACAATTTAGATTTTTCTAACAACAATCAAGTACATGGATTTTTTTCCTGGAAACTGGAAATGCAGGAATAAATAAGATAGTGTTGCCATGATCTCAAGAGAGAGATAGCTAAGAACACTTAATAACAGAGTTTCAAGCAAAATCAGAAATATAGTTTGTTCCAAGGGCAGTGGAAATACAGAAGATAAATTAGCTGTTTCTGCTTGGAAAGTCAGGAGAGAACAGCAGTAAGTGATTGAGCTGAGCCTTGAAGGCCAACCAGGATTGTGCTGGACTGACTAGAAGACAAGGAATTGCAGGTAACAATGAAAAGAACTCATTTCTCCACCTCCCATTCCTATTCACCTTTGCTCCTATAGTATTCTTCTATTGCTAGATTCTCTTGCTTGGACTTTCTTTTTTTATGGCATAATGGACATGTATTTGATACAGTACTTCTCACAAAGGAGATGTTACTCCATTAATATAAAGTTATTTTTTAACAAATGTTTCCTCCATTTTAGTATTAGATATATTGAGTACATATTAGTTAATCTTTTTTTCAGACACAAAAGTTTCAATTTTTGGCTATTTAATATCTAAGTACTATTATCAACTAGGGAGACAAAACAGAACAACAACAAAACACATGGAGAAAAAGATTCCCCCAGAATTCAAGAGGCAGTGATTCATACAGCAACAATGTTGACTTACTGGATTCTGAGCAAATACTTCCTTCTTCCAATTCCACAAGCTTTAACAATTTAAAAAGTACAACATAATACTTAGGCAAATTTAAGCCCTCTTTGACCCCCTTCCTAAGCAGCAATTACAAATTACAGGTCATGTTATTAAAGCACTCTTTGTTGTGCTTTAATGCCACCCTACCGATCTACTCCCATCTTATGAGAAACATCTATGAATGTGAAACCATCCTCTTCTTGCTGGATACAGGAAACCTTGGGACTGGCCTCAATAGCACAATGGTTTTCAGTGTGGTCAGGGTGAAGTCTAGTTCTGCAGAGTCCTTCAGAGTCAAATCTGTCTGTTTTGCTTTCTTGCGTATATACACAAGCAAGCACAAATGCCCGTGATGCTGAGAACCACACCTAATAAGAGCGCAACTGCATCTCCAGATTCTACTGCTTCAACACCAGGCACCACCAGCAGAAGCATCAAGGTAAGGACTAAGATCGACTGTGTTGGAATTGAATTCATCGTGTTGGGATCTCGAGGCCTGAACTTTCCTGAACAAGAGTGGAGGTTAAATTCTATCCAGTGTCCAAACAGTTCCCCTTTGGAGCTCCGGTTCCCGAGGCTAAGAGGTTACCCGTGGCACCCCTGACTGGAAAGCAACCATTACAGGAATCGCTTGGACTTTCTTTAACTGAGTGACCCGAAATCCCATCCCTAGTCTCCAGAGATTTAGAAATATTACTATTGCATTCATTTTTCTAGGCAGAAGTGAACAGATACTTGTTCATGACAGAAAAGCCACCAAAAGACAAAACAAAAACACTCCACCCAAATCTAGCTTGGTGAAACAATGAGTTTAACTGGGATTGCTTAGCTTTGTTTAGCTTATAGTAACAAAGGGTCCGACGAATCTTCATTATGTAGACTAGTATATAAACTGAGTTAATATGTGATTGAATCAAAATACTAAATGGCAAATGTGGTTACTTCCTTATGGGTTTTTCTAAGAGGTGACATCTGAGGCCCCATTTGTACTACAGAATATTGCTGTTCATAAGAGATTAATGCAAAGTCCTTTGTTGTTACACGTGGAAAATCAATCTAAAACTCAGCTGGAAACCAAGCTGATGATCCTGTCCCATAGTTGATATCCCTATACCCATGGCAGGGACTTCACTCATCAAAGAGGAATTGTCACGTCTGCTTCTCGGCCTGTGTCCGAGAACGTGCAGAGGGTGTCGGGGATTGACAACACAGAGACTCGTTCAATGATATAAAGAAAACTTTAAACAGGCTCCAAAAAAGGTTCAAGAAAACCTCCTAAGAAAAGCTCCCACCAGAGAAGCTTCTGCTCTCTCCTCTACCCTGGCTGGTTCTGCTCTGACCCCAGAGGTGGATGTGTGTGGGTTTTTGAAGGTGCGGTTAGTCTTTGGACAAGGTCGAGGTCAGGGCGGTTTCCATGGGAAGGCCTTTCCCAGGAACTTATTGTATCGTTTTTAGTAAACATGTTTTTACTAAACATTGTCTTACAGCTGCCTACTCCCAGGCAGAAGGGGAAGTGGGTCTCTGCTCAAGGTCTGGTGTTCCCACAATTCACCCCTTTTTATTTTCAAATGAGGCACTCCTGGCTTAGGTCAAGTAGGGTCACCCTCCCTTTCCCGTCTTTGGGGGACCTTGAACCCCTGTCTTAGGTGGGAGGGGTCTTCCCCACAGGTTGACCGTCATCGGAGACACCCCAACCTTAAATCATCTGTAACCAACCTTCATGGCTATCGGGATTGTCATGGGCTAAGCTAAGCAATACTTGGTTATAGATCTCTTGCCTCTGGAACAAGGCACGTTTGAGCTCGGCATAAAGCCAGAATGCCTACTGCCCCTGAATTATGGAGAGTTATTGGGACCTTTTTTTCCTTTTTGGGGAAATGAGCTCTTCTCATCCTGTAGGGTGGTAGATTTGGGAGTTTCAGGAGCCACTTCTACTCATTTGCCTATATTAAAGAGGTATAAGGGCTCTTCATTAGCCATGTCAAAGATGGAGGAACCCCTGCCTTGTAGGAGCTGTGCCTGCCCTGACCCTCCTGCTTCCCTGGTGCACCTTCTGAATAGTTGGGGTATAGTAGATTTTACACTAAAATATAACAGAAAGACCTTACCATGAGCTTTAGGGCCCAAGCAGGAATAACAGATGAAGCAGCTCATCCTCAGAGAGGAAATAATTAGAGCATTGCCTAAAAGTTGGTTCTCTCAAAACTATTCTTTGATAAAGGACGTGACAAGGAATGATACCATATAAAAGGTGATTATCCTGGAATTCTCCTCACAAACACTTTATTTGCTTGTCATATGCATATAAATGACAGTGTCATTGTTATCACAGCAGGAAATTGCAAAGCACATGAAGGATGCCCATGTTGAGATGGCCACCATGGTTTTTCCACAGTGAAATGGCTTGACTTCAGTTGTACTTCTCATCACTAGCAACAGGCCCAGGTGTGCTTTTGATTCTGTTGATTCTGTTGTTTTCTTGCTGCAATACCAAGGTTTACATTAACTTTTCCTGGGGAGATATGAAAAAAATGTATTAGTACATTGGTACATGTCATTGGTACGTGGGGTACCAATGACAGATGGAAGAGATGCTTCCATGCGCTTTAGCTTGGTGAATCAATAGGCTTATCAGAGTTATATTCTGCAGGATGGGTAAGAGGTCACTTACAGGAACACAGTTAACTTATAGATAGATAATAGTCTTTCCTCCCCACTTAGCATTTGTTAACCATTTTGTATACACAGGGATTGGAGGAGCTTCTGAATCTCTTGTGTTACTGTTCCATCCCCATCATGAATGGATATTAGTTGGGATTTTCTGCAATTAATAATATCTCTAGTAAAATTTTACTTTGTAGCTCTTATTTCTGCTCTTATTTGGAACTAAGCTTACTTCAACTAGCCCTTACCTCAAAATTAATCATATAAAACTATACTTAATTAAAGGCCATCTATCATGTTATTTTCCTAAAATGGTATATTTAAAAACTAACATTTTATGTTAATATATTCCATTTCTTATTTATCTCAAATGCACCAAGTACAGAGATGCCCAAATCAAGTGTTTTATATAAATCAGAATACTTGTTTCTTTCATTATTTGATAATCTTTACTGCTTTCATAAAGATGAGTGAGGAAAACATATTTTGGTGGAAACTGAACTTCTGTCTTTGAAACTCAACATTCAGTAACCAATAAAGCAGAAATAGTAACCAATGAATATGACCTTCACTATTGTAGAAAGCAAATTGTTAGATTCCATGTTGATCTTCAGCATGAATAGGCAGATGTTTTAGAAATCTATATGCTAGAAGTAATAATATGCACAGAATAGTTAGCCTGGTTGTCTGATTAGTCTATGGATGGTGTTTTGGTTTTTAAATAATTTAACATTAGTAAAATAAATGGTAATATTCCCAGTAATCTTAAAAGAAGATAGTGCACTAAATGTTCTGTCAAAATTTAGAATTTCAAATTCAATATAAGAGATGTACCTTATTATTGAATAATATCACAAATTATAGATAAATTACAATCAGCTTATTGTGTATATGCATTCTCTAAGTAAAAATAGAATATCATATTTTATTTATCTTTGTTTCTTTGTTACATCTTGACAACATCAGCAATAATTAAATCTTACAAAGTTGCTTTTCTCAGTATATATTTATTAATAAGAATAAATTGTGTATTAAGACTAACATATAACTCATGGAGTTATGTTAGTTTTTCTAATACTCTAATAGTGTTATTTTGTGCTTCTAAATTAAACATGAAAAGCAAACATATTCCAATGTGAAAGTTAGTTAGAAAATACATTACATAAACAGAAGATATGATTTTGTGCTTCACATATACTGATAAATTTTGTAAATTAAGAATACTAATTAATATTTGTCACAACAAATTTAAATTTCTGGGTAAAAATACATCCAAACATTAGCCTTCTCCCAATTCATTTTCAGGATGAAATTAAAGAGTGATTGACTCTAAGCTCTAAGTGTTCTTGTCACGAATGACTTGCTCATCTTTTAAAATACTTCCCCATTTTAAATGTAATCAAAGCTGAGTATTATATCAGTAGATTAATATTCCATGATATAACAGACTTATTGAAAGCATTTTTCTTTTGCTTCCAGTGTCAATCAAAGGTGTCAAAATTAATGTAACATAGATAAGTAGATACGTAGGTAGATAGACAATAGGTAGAATTCAAGCAGAATGAAATTAATGGTAATTGAGACAAAAATATCAATACCTTAAAATCATAAGTGAAACTGAGATAATTTCATTCTCTCCAACAAAAGTTTTGACTCTAACATCTACCTATCGTATGCATAAATATATGTGTATATGTGTAAAGAGAAGCCTTCCCACCAGCCTGGTTACAGAGCCACATCAGTCCCAAATAAACACACAGGAGGCTATATTAATTATGAAGCTCTTGGCCTTGCTTGTTTCTTACTGGCTAGCTCTGACTTAAGTATTTACCCCATAATTTTTAATCCAAATATTTCTCTTACCCGAGATGTTTCCGGGCTTCCTACCCCATGGCGGTTACATCTTGACTCTCTGTGTTCCTCCTTCCCAGAGTCCTCCTGGACTCCTAGTGCCACCTATCTTGGTTCCCTATTGGCCAACAGGGCTTTATTGACATATACATAGGACTTCCCCCATCATATATGTATATTTTTTCTTGATTAATTACTTAAACATACCCAAGAAAATGCATAGTATTTAGTTATTACTTTATATCTATAAAACTGTCCCTCAAAACTTATTGTTTCCATTTCCTATCAAAACAAAGCTATTATAAAAAAGATTATTGGGGCCTTCACAATGGCTCAGAAGGTAAAGTGACTCCAACCCTTGTCTAGCAACCTGATTTTGACACTTGAGAGCCACATAAAGGTGGACAGAACTGATGCCACAGAGCTGTCCCCTACCCTCCACACACACAACTAATAATAATAATAATAATAATAATAAATAATGATTATAATAAATAATAATAATAGGTACTTTTTATACTACCTATATAGAGGCTAAGAATTCACATGAGTGGCTTCCAGAAATTAAAATTCTGTTTCTTATTTTCTATTTTTAAAAATGTATTAATTTTTTTATAAGAACTTGTAAGTTTTAACTTTTTTAAAAGATGTGGTTAATTTTATTTTGTGTTTGCAAGTTTCATTTGAAGTATGTATGAGCACTTGGCCAGAAGGTATCATTTGATTCCTGAAACTGGAGTTAAATATGGTTGTAAGCTTCTATGTGGGAGATGGGTAATGACCCCAAAATCTTAACAGAGAGTGCTCTCAACCATGGAGCCACTTCTCCAATCCAAAGAACTTGTAAATTAAAAACAATCACATATTTAAATTATCCAATTCCAAAGTTTATATATCACAATGAACTTGTATTGAATTATAATAACCATTGTGAAATTGTGGGACTTCAAATTGTATTTCTA